CTGTAACCTCAGTAAGTGGTTCAACTCTTTTATTATCACACACACACACACACACACACACACACACTCTCTCTCTCTCTCTCTCACACACACACACACACTCTCTCTCTCTCTCTCTCACACACACACACACACTCTCTCTCTCTCTCTCTCACACACACACACACACTCTCTCTCTCTCTCTCTCACACACACACACACACTCTCTCTCTCTCTCTCTCACACACACACACACACTCTCTCTCTCTCTCTCTCACACACACACACACACTCTCTCTCTCTCTCTCTCACACACACACACACACTCTCTCTCTCTCTCTCTCACACACACACACACACTCTCTCTCTCTCTCTCTCACACACACACACACACTCTCTCTCTCTCTCTCTCACACACACACACACACTCTCTCTCTCTCTCTCTCACACACACACACACACTCTCTCTCTCTCTCTCTCACACACACACACACACTCTCTCTCTCTCTCTCTCACACACACACACACACTCTCTCTCTCTCTCTCTCACACACACACACACACACACACACACACACACAGGTGTTAAATGAGAGTGTTATTTCATGCTGTGTTTTTACACTGAAGGTAAGTGTGTTACTGTGACTGGAGGAGATTTCTGAGCATGTGTTTATGAATGAACACACACACACACAGAAAGAGAAACTTTCAGAAAGAGACTTTCATCTGCATTCATCTCAGTCTCACAATAAAATCAACATGACAAAGCTTTTCATCTTTTATCCTGGAAATTAATTAAATTTTCTGCCCTCAAATCATTTCTCATTTAATATCGAGTCACACTTTTATCGAGTCAAGACGAGTGACTGGATAATGGGCAGCTTATTTATTTATTTATTTGTTTGTTTGAAATAATAATAATTATTAGTATGTATTGATTAGTTCAGGAGAACGAGTCACTGTAATTAACCGCGAGCCACACTTCACACGTGATGGTGTGTTTGCCGCGTGAAAGCGTCACACTGATGTGGCGTGTGCTGTCGGCTCCTGAGTTCGCTTCCACGGCCGTTTCTCCCGTTAGTTTCCCGTTCGCTTCGAATCGGCCTGATCTGCGTGTGACCTCAGGCGCCGCTACGATTTAGCCACAGCCAATTACCCAGAATGCCCTGTCAGGCCGCAGGAGCACTGATTCGAGGCGACGGCGGGCTCTCGTCTCCCTCTACAGGTGATATCCGCTCACATCCAAACACACGCTATTACAAACAATCATGTAAAACCCAAAGTGCACGACAGATTGAATCACAACTCAAAGCTCAGAGAGACTCCCAGAGACGTTGTTCTGCGTCCCCTCCAGCTTCTGTTAAGATCTCATCATGAATAATGGAAACGGCATGAAAACAAGAGTCATAAATATGCAGCAGGTCACAATAAAGCCTGTGATTCACAGAAAGAATCTTTATAGGTTTATTTCTATTTCGGTTTTAGTAATTCCGTAATAATAACTTAAACTTATCATTTCATTTAGGGAACATTTCTAATTTTAGTTTTAGTTTGAGTGATTTTGCTCTGTGCTTTTGTCATTTTTATTATTTTTATAGGTTTATTTATATTAAAGTCTTAGTAATTTTAGATTCTAAAGTTAAACCAATTTATTTAATTTAGGCAACATTGCTATTTTTGTTTTTATGTGTAAGTGTTTAATCTAATATTTATATTTTATTTACTTTCAGCTTTATTTCAATTACTGAAAATGATTTAGTTTTAGGTTTCGGTTCGTGAACAATAACAGCAGATGCCTTATGTTGAATCCAGCAGCAGCTGTCAGGTGTGTTTGTCTTGGTTAATGGTTTCTAAAATCCTGAATTTAACTTACCCTCCACTGCTATAATATAAACCAGCGTTAGCATTATACCACAGAACAATGCAGGCGGATCTAGTGAATGACGGATGGAGATCAGAAATTCAAGCACGTCCAGGTGAAATGAAGACGCTTGAATGATCATTTTCTGTCAGATCTGTCTGACAACTTCAGTGAACATCGTCATGACGACAAACCCACATGCTTGTGTGTGTGCATGTGTGCTTGTGCGCGTGTGCAGATATCTCCTCAGTGTGTTAGTGTGTGTGTGTGTGTGTGTGTGTGTGTGTGTGAATGTGTGAGTGAGAGTGTGTGTGTGTCTCTCTAAGTGTGTGTGTGTGTGTGTCAAGTCAAGTCACCTTTATTTCTATATTCTATCTCTATAGTGCTTTATACAATACTGTGTCAAAGCAGCTTTACAGTGTCAAACGGGAACATAGTTTGCCAATAATGCAAGAAGACAATAACAGAGTCATTTTGCCAGCTAAAGTCAGTTCATTGATGATTCAGTGATGTCATCATCCAGTTCAGGTCTCTTCAATAGTGTCTGTGCAATCAGTCAAGCGTCCCCAACGAAACAAGCCAAAGAAACCAAAACTCCATCTGTGACAGAATTGAGAAAAAACCTTGGGGGAAACCAGGCTCAGTCAGGGGGTCAGTTCTCCTCTGGATCTCCCAAGGGTAACATGTAAAGCATGAAAAGCAACGGTCCTAGTACTGAGCCTTGTGGCTCTTCATACTGTACTTGTGATCGATATGATACCTCTTCATTCACTGCTACGAATTGATGGCGGTCAGATAAGTAACATCTGAACCATGACAATGCAATTCCACTAATGCCAACATAATTTTTTAGTCTATTCAAAAGAATGTTGTGGTCGATAGTGTCAAACGCAGCGCTAAGATCCAGTAGCAATAATAGAGAAAAAGAACCACGATCGGATGATAAGAGAGAGAGAGCGAGTGTGTGTGTGTCTGCTGCAGGTAAAGGTCCAGAGATCCTGACGGCGGGTCAGAAACTCAACGATAACGAGTGGCACTCGGTTAAAGTGACCCGGCGCGGGAGGAACCTGCAGCTGTCCGTGGATAACGTTACTGTGGAAGGTAGAAATGCCATTCATGCTTCATTGACAGAGAAACATTTACTCATGAGCTCTAGTGAGAGGAAGATGAAACTCAGGCTGTGCAGTTTGATAGCAAACAATCGCTGATTAAAGCCTGAAACCCCACCCACCATATAAATGTCAGCCAATCAGAGCGCAGAGATTACTGACAGACACAAAGCATTTCGGAGTGGCTACTGTAGTTTTATCATCTTCTTTCAGTCTAGTGGAAAGAAAACATCCAAAATACACATTTAAGTCTTAATTTTATTACATTTACTGTGTTTGCATGTGTAGATTTCAATTACAATCCATATTTTTAAAAGATTATTTCTCTTCAGCAGCACTTACTGCTATTATGTATATTTTGAAGGTTTTTACTGAGGGGTTTGTCATATTTCACTCACCTGTGTTTATACAACATTTTATTCCTAAAAACATGTTTAAAATGTGTTTGTTTTCTGTCTGTTTGCAGTATTTATGGAGTGATATAACGAGAAACCCAGAATCCCCTCTGGAAAAACCTTTAACTCTAATATGACAAAAGAATCAGTAGAATTTTGAACCGGGCTTTAGATTTGTATTCTGGAAATGTATGCAAATGAGTGCTTATTTAAGTAGATAAAGCCTGATTGGCATACAGTATTTAAAGATAACATTTCATACAATGTGTAATATAAGACATTTGTGGTAATGTGCTGTGATTACACTGGGGAAGCACAGTGGTGTGATTCCTGCATTCCAGTATTTGTTGTGTATTCAGTGACTCTTGGACTGGCTCTGCAGGTCAGATGACCGGTGATCACACGCGTCTGGAGTTCCACAACATCGAGACGGGCATCATGACGGAGCGCAGGTTCATCTCCGTGGTGCCGTCTAACTTCATCGGGCACCTGCAGGGCCTGACGCTGAACGGCGTGCCGTACCTGGACCAGTGTAAGAACGGAGACATCTCGTACTGCGAGCTGAACGCCCGCTTCGGCATGCGCCTCATCATCGCCGACCCCGTGACCTTCCGCAATAAAGGCAGTTACCTGGCGCTGGCCACGCTGCAGGCGTACGCATCCATGCACCTGTTCTTCCAGTTCAAGACCACCAGCACCGACGGCCTGCTGCTCTTCAACAGCGGCGACGGCAGCGACTTCATTGTGGTGGAGCTGGTCAAAGGGTCAGTCGCAGCTTCTCACTTTTTCTCATTTTTCACAACATCACAGTTTAATGTTCAGAAGCAGAATCAGAAAGAGCTTTATTGCCAAGTGTGTTTACACACAGCAGGAATTCGTCTTGGTGTCAGGAGCTTCCAGTACAGAAAGTACAAACATAGTGCAGACATACATATAATATAAGGTAATAAAAACACTAATGATAAAGAGAATAGACAATAATAAGTTATAAATAACAATGTAGTAATACAATGTAGAGAAAATGTTCCGGGTAGTGCTGTAGTCAAGACTAAACCGAACCAGCACTTCTCAGATTCATCTGAAAGATCCACATTTGGGATATGTCTGCTGTTTAATCAAAAATGCAATTACAATGTTAAGAGACTTTCTAGAGCTGTTACCAATCACATGAAATCCGACAGAATTCATCTTTGCACTGCAGAGGTGGCACGGAAGTTTCATCTGAATTGGTAACCCTAACACTAATGTTTTATTATTATTATTTTTTTTTTTTATTTTTGATTATAGAAAATATGATGGAAAAATAAAACAATACTTTTAAATATGACACTAGGTGGCAGTCACTGAATCATTTATTCAAACGATTCCTTCGAAGCAGCTGATTCATTCAGTTCCACTGTGGCTTTGTTTGGAGCTGTTTTCTTGCAGAAAGAGCAAAAATCGTGACTAAAATGCAGTTCAATTAATATTAACTTGTTTGTATAAAATCAGTATCATGCTTGCAATTGTGCTCATATTCCTGAAAACAGCTCTCTTGCTCTTGACATATAGCTTAATTATATGTTAATCATATTGTATAATATAAAAACAAGATCTCATACTTTTTTTTTTTTTATTATATCTTGAAATTTTGGGGTAATTGAATAAATTTTGATGATATTTTTGACACAATTCCCCATTAAATTCTGACCCGGCAAAACAGTATTTAAAGTAATCGTATTAGAAATAAGTTATTGATTGCATTTGAAGCAGCACGTTTTACATCCAATCTCAGTAATGACGTTAGCAAATAAATCAGAAAATGCATTGCCATTTTTAATATACTTTTATAGGTGTCATTTATTTCAGCATTAGTATTTGTAGTTAAATTTATCTATAACATAAAACAACACATAGCAGTTTGCTTAATGGTTTGTTCGACAGTGTTATTTTAGTATGACTTATATACTATTACAGTATTTATTCATATTTTGAATCGACTTTTTCTACTTTGATTTTAATTTTATTTTTCTTTATATTTTTGTAGGTTTCATTTATTTGTATTTCAGTTAGTATTACTTCAACTTTTATTTTCATACTTTGTTTTCATTTTCGTTTTAGTTTAAGTTTTTGTTATGTGCTTTCGTAATTTTTATAATTTATCATTTTAATATTTAATCATATTTTTATAGGTATAATTTATTTTCATTTCAGTTTTTGTTTCATTTTAGTACTTTAACTTAAATTTCTAAATAAAATGCTTTAGCATTCATCATATTTCACTGCAGGTGAATCTGGTGCATGATAAATACACAGATGGAGATTGTGACCTGAAATGAAGTGTGAGATGTGTGAAATGAAGGCGTACAGTAGCAGCCGATTGAAATCACGCCGGTGATGTGGGGAAGACGAGTGAAAGCTGACTCATTTCACGCACAAACACTGTGGAGAAGAAGAGTGTTTCTGAGCAGCAGATGTGTGGATGCTCTTTGTTGTGTTTAAGTGCTTCAGCGCACTCATTATTCACGCTCTTATGACCAGTCAAAGCTCATTTTTCACAGTTCTTATCTGTGATGAACACAATGCATGCAGTGTTTTATAATCGATATTTGAAGGCAAATGACAGTAAATGTAGGGAAAACACCAGAGAGCAACATTTTCTGCGGTATTAGAATAACTAGAGCGCAGGAAATGAGTTTCATTCAGTGAAGAGTCGCTCATTTGTGGTGTGAAAATAAGGACAGAGTTCCATCAGAACCGCTTCTCTCTGCAGAACTCTAACGCGGACAAGAAAAGCTCATGTGGTTTGTGTGCCGTATTCAGAAATCTGCTGCAGTGATTTGGCATTATCAAGACATTTACTAGAAGATCCCGGTGGGTTTGGTGACGAGCAGATCCTCGCAACACATTTCATGCCAGTCGATGTTCTGGACGACTTGATTGAAACTGATTTCTCTGTTTAATCAGTGCAGTTTCTTCATTATATAGTCTTTAAAACCGTGCAAATCACCAGGCACCTTGCCACAAACAAAAACCAGCCCAGTCGGACAAAACTACAACAGAGCGCAGAATTCATTTCATTTTTTCATTTAATGAAGAGAAATGAAGGAAGCGCTCACACCTCACATCAGCACACGTTTATGTCCTCTCGTTCTGCTGCACTCAATAAAGCACACGTTTAGACTAAATAAAGTGTATGTCTAGATTAAATAAAAAATAAAGCATGCATTTCGACGAAATAAAGTGTGTGTCTAGATTAAATAAAAAATACAGCATGCATTTAGACTAAATAAAGTATGTGTCTAGATTAAATAAAAAATAAAGCATGCATTTAGACTAAATAAAGTGTATGTCTAGATTAAATAAAAAATAAAGCATGCATTTAGACTAAATAAAGTGTATGTCTAGATTAAATAAAAAATAAAGCATGCATTTAGACTAAATAAAGTGTATGTCTAGATTAAATAAAAAATAAAGCATGCATTTAGACTAAATAAAGTGTATGTCTAGATTAAATAAAAAATAAAGCATGCATTTAGACTAAATAAAGTGTATGTCTAGATTAAATAAAAAATAAAGCATGCATTTAGACTAAATAAAGTGTATGTCTAGATTAAATAAAAAATAAAGCATGCATTTAGACTAAATAAAGTGTATGTCTAGATTAAATAAAAAATAAAGCATGCATTTAGACTAAATAAAGTGTATGTCTAGATTAAATAAAAAATAAAGCATGCATTTAGACTAAATAAAGTGTATGTCTAGATTAAATAAAAAATAAAGCATGCATTTAGACTAAATAAAGTGTATGTCTAGATTAAATAAAAAATAAAGCATGCATTTAGACTAAATAAAGTGTATGTCTAGATTAAATAAAAAATAAAGCATGCATTTAGACTAAATAAAGTGTATGTCTAGATTAAATAAAAAATAAAGCATGCATTTAGACTAAATAAAGTATGTGTCTAGATTAAATAAAAAAATAAAGCACATGTATGTCTAGATTAAATAAAAAATAAAGCATGCATTTAGACTAAGTAAAGACTAAAATAAGTGAACATTTAAATAAAAACTAAATAAAGCACATGTTTAGACTAAAGTTGTAACTTTTTTTTTACATTTTTAGCAAATAAAAATTAAATAAAGCATATGTTTAGACTAAATAAAGTAGTTTGTATGTTTTTTGTTTTGATTAAAAACTAAAAGCATATGCTTAGACTAACAGACTAAACAAATATGTACGTTTTGATTGAATAAAAACTAAAAGTGTGTTTAGACTAAATAAAGTGTATGTCTAGATTAAATAAAAAATAAAGCAGGCATTTAGACTAAATAAAGTGTGTGTCTAGTTTAAATAAAAATAAAGCACACGTTTAGACTAAATAAAGTGTATGTCTAGATTAAATAAAAATAAAGCACACGTTTAGACAAAATAAAGTGTATGTCTAGATTACATAAAAAATAAAGCACACGTTTAGACTAAAGTTGTACCTTTTTTAAATTTTTAGCAAATAAAAATTAAATAAAGCATATGTTTAGACTAAATAAAGTAGTTTGTATGTTTTTTGTTTTGATTAAAAACTGAAAGCATATGCTTAGACTAACAGACTAAACAAATATGTACGTTTTGATTGAATAAAAACTAAAAGTGTGCATTTAGTCTAATGAAGACTAAATACATTTTATGTTTGGATTGAATAAAAACTAAACAAAGCGTGCATTTAGATTTGAAAAAGTGTGTATTAGACTGAACAAAAACTAAATGTAGGAATGACACTAAGTGCACATTTAGACTGAAAGAGTGATAAAACAGCATGGTTTCAGTATAATCATGGAGTGCTGTGTAATCGGCTGAGCAGGTTCTGTCAGGCTTTAATGCGGTGTGTGTGTGTTTCAGGTACGTCCACTATGTGTTTGACCTGGGGAACGGCCCGTCTCTCATGAAGGGAAACTCGGAGAAGCCGCTCAATGACAATCAGTGGCACAACGTGGTGGTTTCACGCGACACCACCAACGTGCACACGCTCAAGATCGACTCTCTCACCGTGACGCAGCACTCTAACGGAGCCAGGAACCTGGACCTCAAAGGTACGAGCCGCAGGGGGATCAGAGCTCAGCGTGAGCAGATCAGAGTCAGGGTTAAACACTGAACACCAGAGCGCTCCTTCACCTGGTGCTCGTGTGCCAAACACGCTTCTGCCACAATAACATAGACTTTTACTAGAGTCAAATGGGGTCACCAAAGTATCAGAAGTTAACTGCAATACTAGTAAAATTTCATGATGCTTGATGTGCTGTTTTTTTTTTTTGTTAAATGCACTGCAGAAGTGAATTTTTTTCTTGTTTTCCAGTACGAATATTTGTAAAAAAAAAAAATAAAGATAAAAATTCTAGTACATATATGCATTAGAGTAAATAAAACAAACAAAAAATATCTGAGTATGTTTTACAAGAAAATGTTTCAGTTTTTCTTCTTCAAATTTCCAGTTTAATTCATATAGAAAATAAATTGATTTCTTTGACCCCACTGGCAGATGTTTCTTTCTTCATTTTGACCACTTTCTCAGAAAACTACATTTTTTTGTAATGTTTTTCTTGGATGTTTAGATATTTGTACACTGAGAATCACCATAATAATTGCGGAACGTTACTTTTAAGAGTAATGCACTACAAAATTGCGTTACTCCCTAATTGCGTTACTTAGTTACTTTTTGTGGAAAGTAATGTTACATTAGTGTCGCGTTACATTTTCTCATCCGGGTTGGGCTCATTTTTCTCTTTTCAGCAATAAAAAAAAATGAAACACAAATGTTATGCTTATCTAAAATCATTTTTGCTCATTAGTATGGTTAATTTGGATCACTGAAGGTCAGCAGCAAAGACACTGGTTAATAAAATGAGATTATTCTGAGTTTGCAGAAGTTTGCATCATATTCTGAGTTTGCATTTCTCTGTTTTTACTCATTTTGAGGAGTACTGAATCTGAAATGAGTAAATGCATGTTCTCATTTAGTCTAGATCTACAGTAGCACATAAACATTAAAAAGTACATACAATTAAAAAGTAATGCGTTACTTTACTAGTTACTTGAAAAAAGTAATCTGATTACGTAACTCACGTTACTTGTAATGCGTTCCCCCCAACACCGATAATGAGGATCTAATTTCATGAAAACAGTGGCAGTAACACATGACTAGATTTACAAATTATTATTCAGCTCCAGTCAAGTAAAAAGAAGAATAGGAAGTGAATGAAGATCAGCCAGTGATGTACATCCGCTCTGGTTACTGCGGTATTGTGGCTTCATTGTGGTAAATGAGGGACACTCCTGCGGTTTCACTGTTAGGTTAGCTTCCATGAAAGTTTATAGAAAAGCCCAAAGAAATTAGTCAGACGTTCTGAATGGAGTTTGTTATTTTCACCGGTGTTTTTCCGACTGTTGAATTTTCTATCTGTTACCCACATGACTTATACTCCACAATGCATGGCTAATACTAGATTAGTCATGTTCTGTGCTGTTAAACCCACATGTGAAGCAAGAGTGACTGTAAAACTGAAGCTCCACAAGCTTTCAGTTCATTTCTCACTCCACATCGCTTGAACATCAATGAGAAAATGATTTAGTGTACACTACTGTGCAAAAGTTTGGGGTCGGTGTTTCTGAAAGCCTCACCAGGGCTGCATTTATTTGATCAAAAATACAGTAAAAACAGTCAAATATTACGTATGCTAACGGCGCTCAGGGCTATTAGCGTCATGCCGCTTTCCTGGTCTGAGCTCAGAGCATTAGCCGCGCATCAGGCTTTGCAGAATCAAATAGGCATTTTGTCTGTGCGAGTAATTGGTGTGAATAGACGCAGTGGGAGAGTTTAATGCTGTCCCGCTGATGGAGCCACTTTATCCTCTTTGTATTGGATGCGTGATACCGACGCTCGCGCGCGTTTGCCATCTGTGTGCTGACACGATTTCATATAGTCATCAAACGTGCTCATATTAATTATCAGCTTCAGCCCCTTCCACTTCATCTCTGTGATGATGAGACGTTTTTACGGTTCGGTTTCAGTGCAGTGAATCTGCTGATCTGTTCATATAAAGAATAATTTATTGTATTTATACAGCAAACAATTGCTAACAGCTTTTATTTCCATCTGCTATATGCATTATGCTCTCATTGTAATGAACTCAGCCTTTATTATCTGTGCTGGTCCAGTGTCACGTGGCGTGCACAGCAGTATTATTTATATTCCACTATATTCATAGGCGGGACAATTAAATGAAATCTATTACATCTGTTGCGAACAACACCGTGAAGCTGCTTTGACACAATCTGTATTGTATAAAGCGCTATAGAAATAAAGGTGACTTGACAGAGTGAAAATTAATGAAAGGTGTCGATTAAGCATTAAATGAGATGTGCTCATGTTTCACCATATTTCATATTTCTGGAGTTCTGTTCGGTGCTCGCACTCGCTGACTGAATCAGAAACAAGATTTGTTTCAGAGTGTAGACAGCTTCCGTGATTATAACGATAGTTTGTTTGTTTGAGAGTGCTTAAACTCCAAGGAAGAGTGCCAAGGAAACATTTCTAGTTTTCATTTAAATGTAAGTGCTTTCATATTTTATACACATTTATATTTTATTTCAACTGTATTTCTGTAACGGGGCGACTGAGATGAGAAATGTGCGGATCCATGTGCAAAGCTTTATTCCAAAACATAGTCAAAACAGGTAAGGGTCAGACAATGGCAAACAGGTAATCCGATAAACAGGCGTAGGTCGATCAACGGCGAATATAATCCAAAGGTTGAGGCAAGCGAGTAATTAATAAACAGATAATAAATCCAAGCGAGGTGCGAACAGAATCCAGATGACAAGACGAGAGAGAAATCCAAGACAGGCAGGTAATCAGGAAACAAGACGTGACTAGACTTAGACTAGAACTAGAAACTCAAACTAGTACCGGGAACTGGCTCCGTAAAGTAGCTATGCTAAACAGCATTAATGCTAAACAATACTCGGCATTGAACAGGATCTGAATGGGTGTTATATAGTGTGTGTGATTGGTTTCAGGTGAGCGTGTGATTAGTTAAATGGCAGATGGGAAATGTAGTCCAAGGTAATGTGAAACAGTCTGTGTAGTGTGAGAGTCAATATAATGGAATGGCGACCTCTGGTGGCAATCGGACGGAAGTTCATAGACCGGATTCGTGACAGAGACCCCCCCCCACCCAAGAAGCGGCTTCCAGACACTTCTATCACAATATAATCCAGGAGGGTGGTTGGAGCAGAGGCGGAACAGGGAGACATCATAGTGGACGCCGCCGTTTTTAGAGTTTCAGTGCTGGTGTATGCAGCTCAAATACACCATAAGGCGGGAAGCGCTACAGACAGGGGAATCAGTTCAAGAACAGGAAGGTTTGAGAGCACTGGTTTAAGCATACCAGCTGCACGTGCTGACACCAGCGGTGGGTCCTCCACGCTGGATGTCAGTCTGGGATACTGAAAAAAAGTCCTTGAGGATCTGGGTGCAACAGACAGGAGGTGACAGGACTCTGAGCGAACAGACGAGACGTGACGAGGCTCTGGACGATCAGCTGTGACCAGGAGGTGACAGGACTCTGAGCGAACAGACGAGACGTGACGAGGCTCTGGAGGATCAGCTGAGATGTGACGAGGCTCTAGGAAATCAGCTGAGATGTGACGAGACTCTGGTAGATCACCTGAGAAATGACAAAACTCTGGGGGGTCAGCTGTGACGAGACGATACTCTGGGGGATCAGATGTGACGTGAGGAGACTCTGGACGATCAGCTGTGACGTGAAGAGACTCTGGACGATCAGCTGTAATGTGACGAGACTCTGGGAGATCAGCTGTGACGTGAAGAGACTCTGGACAATCAGCTGTGACGTGACAAGGCTCTGGATGTGACGTGACAAGACTCTGGGAGATCAGCTGTGACGAGACTCTGGACGATCAGCTGTGACGTGACAAGACTCTGGGAGATCAGCTGTGACGAGACTCTGGACGATCAGCTGTGATGTGACAAGACTCTGGGAGATCAGCTGTCACGTGAAGAGACTCTGGACAATCAGCTGTGGTGTGTCGAGACTCTGGACGATCAGCTGTGACGTGATAAGACTCTGGAAGATCAGCTGTGACGTGAAGAGACTCTGGAC